AGTTATGCAAGTTAATTTAACATCAATTCTCTGTTCGTTTTGTCCATGACATAACAAGAAAAATTGTTATAAAAAGAGAGAAAAAACTGGCACAAAATAGATGAGAAGTCAACTTTCTTACCTTTAGGCTGTGTTATTGTCCGTTCTAAATTTACAACACTTTTAATTTGCGAACAACACGAGCCGCCGGCTTAATAAAGACTATTTGTTTACATTCTTCCTGTGATGACTTGTCCATTGATTAAGGATGAACGAAACACACTTAATGTGCGTGGCAGCTTCTTGAGAATTAAAATGTTCGTTTAAAGGCTTCTTTCAGATCCGAGCTCGATCGATAAGAATGCACGCATCTCATTGGTTTCGGTACTTTGACGAAAAACGATAATGTACCTCATTAATGTATTGGATATATTGTACAGCGCTCTACTTTCGAAAGTGTTATCAGTCAATTTACACCAAAATTGAAATCGTAAACAGTGATAGCTATACCGTCCCAATCGTTGTGAACACGGTTTGACCTTGCGAAAGGGAAAGGTATAAGCTTCTTGATTCCGCTTTTAAGACCTGATCCAACGTTTTGTTTAGTCTATTTAACTGTTGGCCTGCATGTAACATCGTTTAGCGTAAAGGAAACTAGACACTTGTGAAGTAAGGAGTTCTAAACTTACAGGACTTCATCCTGAAACGCCTGTCCTTGTAACGCACTTTTCAGTTCAAAGTTTTCACGAGATAACGTTTCTGCAATCGTTATCAGTTTTAAACTTCTCTCTACAATTGTAAATCGTTGTCTTAATACAAACCTGAACGCCTTTCTAGAACTGTAAAAATGAACCACACGATAGTTCACAGTTAAACGAGAACGAAAACTTATCTAGAAAACTTCAGATTTACTTTGTTTCGAAGGTACTCGATGGGCACTCGCATAATTCTAAGCGACTACCTATCTACACTCATAAGGAGAAAGTATCCAAGGTCTCCGTTTCTTAGTTTTAAAATCAATCTATGTTTAAAAATTCCCAGAAATAGGTGCAACAATACGATATATCTTCATGCGAAAAGCATAGTTGTTGTCAGAAACTCATGATCAACGTCAATTTATAAAATTAGACATACCTGCGATTCTTTCTCTTTCTTGTTGGGTTAACTGGTTGTGCTTGCCGTCTGAAGGTCTGTGCGCTGCTACTGCAGCCGGTCATTAAAATTCAATTGACTTCCTTTTAACTTTCTTCTCATTAATCAATAAACATGTGAGGTCTCAAACGTGATTTTAATTGGCAACCTGCCTCTTCGAAGTTCTGAAAGCAGATGCGTAGCTCCCAGAGCACAAAAATAATTAACTTGTTGTCAGTTACTACTTCCACTCACTGTCGTTTACCAAAACATTTTTCTTTGGAGCAGTAAATTTTTATGCATTTTTTTTTCTGGAGCACGGTTCAGGGGAGTTGCCAATGACTTATTGGGGTATATGATTTCAAAACATCACACCACGACTCTACTGATAAATGGTTTAAATTTCTATGAAACTGGACTACGGGATGCGTAACTCCCAGAGCACAAAAAGTAATTAACTTGTTGTCAATTACTAGTTTCACTCACTGTCGTATACCAAAACATTTTTCTTTCAAGCAATCAAATTTTATGCATTTTTTTTTCTGGAGCACCGTTCAGAAGAGTTGCCAATGAATTATTGGGGAATATGATTTCAAAACATTACAACACGACTCTACTGATAAATGCTTTAAATTTCTATGAAACTGGACTACGTGATGAATGTGTTCCGGAGTCACTCGATAGGAAAGGATTTATGAAAGATAATTCGACGCTTTGTTTGTCACATCATATAAACACAAACTGAAAGGCATGTGTCATATTTGCAAGGTCTTTCTTCTTAAGTTGACGCTGAGGTTTAATGTCATGAACTGATCGAAATACATAACACTGATTTGAATTTCTAAGTAAGCGGGCTACATTAGTGTTAATTTGCAACTGACCTGACTATCTCGCAATTTTTATCTATCTGTCCAGAGTGGTCACCCCTTAATTAAAGCGTGAAACAATGAAGTTGATTTAAATTTTAATTTATATGCCATGACAATGCAAGCTGAGAACATGCGAAGCCCTCCACCAAAGTACAAACTTTTAAACAATTATCTCTAATGTGAAATTATCCACTTTTATAAACATCGCTTCTAAAGTAAGGCTGTAAGGTAAATTTTTAAGAGTTTGTATGACAAAATTTGTAAATTTTGGGTGTCCAAACAAAAATTGAGGAGAAAGAAAAGAAGGAAGCAGTAGTTGCAGACAATTATGGCAATAGGGCGCTCTACTACACCTACATTTCTTGCCGTTAATTATTTACGTCGTTGGGCTCTTGCGGTTTCCTTTGTTTTGAAGACGATAGTGATTGGCTGAATAGTGATCACCTGATCCAGCATAACAATGATTGAAAAGTATCCCAGGAAATATTAAGAGTCTTAGGGAAACAAAACTTAATTGTTTCCCTGGGGGAAATATCAAGTGTATAATATTGTGTAGAAATGGTAGTCGATATCATCGTTGTCACAAACAAAAATATAAATAAACCTGAACCTGAAGCCTACATAAAACTGAAGAATTTCTGTTTTTAGCCGATCCGCTCGCCTTCTCTCATAAAGATAAAGTTGTCCTATCTGACATTTGTGTCACCAATTTTTGAACGCAAATTTATCCATGTCGTGTTTTCGAGGTTGTAAATGGATGTTGTTTCAGCTGTTTGTCTAATGGATTTGATTGGTCAAATTCATTTGTTGAACCACTCATAATTACAACAGCGGTGATGTTCGTATTTTTTTTGCACCAAAATAATTGTTTCAGTGAAGTGTGGCACAGACAAGATCATTAGGGTAAAGATATCGCCGCAAGGAGACGTATACTTGCATATCATTACATAGCTTGCTTATTCTATTTTTTTTCCGAATAGACCTATAGTTTGGAATCCTCGGTTAAGTAAATTTTTTTTTAAAAATAGTCTGGCATCAAATTGCACGTTAAAGCGAAATTATCCACCGTTGCACTTTGGAAGACAACAGAATGAGCGCTGTAGTCCTTAGACGAGCAGGAATGGGAGAGGTTGGCATCGTTGGTATCATTGATGAAGAAAAATTGGCCAAAATTGTTCGATCGGTAGGCTATAAGGGTATTAAGGAGAAGTGAATTTGCTGTAAAATTTCTGTAGGACATAAAATTTCCAAAGTTTGTTTGTAAGCTGGATCGTTTTCTGACAATAAAAAGAGGAAACGATATTTGTGCAACCCCCTCGGAACTAAGTTTTATTCAAATTTTCGTCTGTAACCATCACAGATTATTTTTCTTTGACATACTCAGTGATATCCAATTATTTCTCAGCTCACGGCTGGGTTCTAAAAAATGAAAAACAAAACAGCATTTTATCATCATTATATATATCTCTGGAAAGTGTGGGTGCCTCACAAGATGTTGGCAAAAAAAGATATCGTTGCAGCAAGGCTACTGAGACTAACCCAAAAAATCGTATCTCTTTTGTAGCCAATAAGAAAGCAAGAACAAATCAATAATTTATCAAGGCTTTTGAAAAAAAGCTTACTTACAGTAACCGATGAAATTGGAGAAAGACAATAATGTCATTGTGTGGTGAATTTTTCAGCTTTTTTCACCAAAATATTTTTTTTTGCTCTGACTAACTCGAAGTTTGTCCATTGTTACCCGGCTCGTAAGACGTGGATATAGCTACGTCGTTACCACATACTAAGAGATATACAAACCTATGAGGACTTTGGCTTGACGTTTGCAGCAAAACGGCCAATCACATTTCCTGCGGGCGAATAGCGTGCCACAACATATGTGTGAGTGATTCCGTTATCTGACACTATTTTGGTCAAAGCTGCGCCCAGTTTGGTGGTGCTCTTCCATACAACCTGAAAGCAGCATTGACAATAAGTAAACGTACATTTGGCTTTGAAGTGCATATCCTTCTTCTTCACCAGGAAAGCTATACGATTACGGGTCATTTAGCTGCAGGAGGCGGGGATGTTGCAATGGTGAGAGTTCTCGCCCCTCACTGCTGTGGCCCAAGTTTGATTTCTGGACCTGGCGTCGAAAGTGGATTAAGTTAGTTGGTTCTCGTCCTTACTCTGAGGGTTTTTCTCCAACATTAAAAATTCCAGTTTGATCCTGAAACAGTGGACAAGAAGAGCCACCACGTGAAATATGTTCTAATAAACATTACTATTGTTATTATGATTATTTTTACAATTATCATTACCGTAAACGAAAGTAGTAATGGCAACAGCTTATTACAATCAGCACTAGGATGAGAATTATAGCCGATGAGAAATAAAATTAAAAAAAGATGACTACATATCTGATGCCATGAAAAATGTGGGTGAGCAAATCAAGATTGTTTGGGAGGATGGTACATCGAAGCTTTGTAAAGAGCCAAGTAAAGCGAAGCCATTACCATGTCGGAAAAATTCCAGCCCCTGGTTGCACTGCAATTGGCCCACGTACGATTTTTTCTTAAGTCAACGCCACTACTCCGGCCCGTAACGGTCATGGGCCAATTTTAAGGTACCAAAGAAACTCCCGATTGATAAATATGTTATGATTAGATTTTTGATCAAATAAGTTATCAAATTACTGAAACAGCGTCGTAATTTTGAGTTTTAGTGTAACCAACACATATGAAAAAAGGATGGGAAATTCCTCTCCGATCTTGATGAGAAATTAAGGTGCTCAGACACCGGTGATGAGTCTTATTCTTACCGCTGTGAAATGTCCAGTAGCGAAACTAAATCCTGGATTATCGAAGTCATAAAACTTTATTTCATTGTACCTACCAATGAACAAAATAAAATCGGTTTACTTCAGGATTTGGAAAGTCAACATAAAGCAAATGTCAGTTAAAGGACAGGATGTAATCGTAAACAACTCGGCTATGACGATGTCATAATGGAATTGCCTATGAGCTTAAAAAATCAAATGTGGAGCAACAAGTGGCGATACTAACATTTTCGGGCTGGGAGGGGGGGAGGGGGAGGGAGAACAGGAGCGCATTGGGGTTAGGGTACGTGCAGTCTTGGTTTGATTCCAACAACTAACGTCACGCGTGGGTTGAGGTTGCTGTTGAATCTCATCTGTCCTCTGAGGGGTTTTTCTCTGGGTTCTTTGGTTTCTTTCCTCAATAAAAAACCAACACTTTAAAGTACAATTTCGATTGAAATCAATGTTCTAAAAGCCATTGGCTGGAAGCGTCACTGCTTGATGTAGGTGATTTATCTCATTCAATTTATCTAATGTTACTGCGGGGTTTTGTGTGGACAGGAGGGAGGCGAAGGCACCCTATTAGAGGCTAAGTATCCTATACGTTCCCATTATCCTAATGTATTCATCCATATTCGTGTTCTCCTGAAAAAGATCGCACGACGATTTCTTTTCCTCATGTCTTCAAAGGCTTGTGGAAAATTTTCATCGAGGTTAATTAAAAGACTTGGTTCTTATTTTGACCTTCATGATGACTTCCGTTCAAAGTATTGAGAGTTAGATCACTGTCACTGACAATATTCCGTTTTAGAACTGCTCTCACTCTAAAAAGATCACACTTCAAGATATCCTGAGCTCCAACTATTTACATTTACGTGCATTTTGATTAGTTGCTACTCATAATCTGTCGATAATACTAAATTTGTGATAAATTTCCCTGGTATACCCTTTTTTACGCAGCTATGCCTACCAGGACTTTACGGCATCTGAACAGGATTTGACAAATCCGCTCGAGCCTGAGTACAGGTTTTCTCCTTCGGCAATGTTTTTAGCGTGGACTAGGCGTCCAGTAGAAGCCAAGTGATCTGCCCAGTTCTTTGCATCCTGAGCCAGTTTGTTATCCCACACCAAAGCTGGGGCTCCATGAAGAGCCCGCTTTTCATTATGGGCCTGCAGGCAGGCATCTGGGTCCACTTCGTAGTTGGAGATAAAAACAATGTTTATCAAAATAAATAAAATACGTTAGTTTATTCCGTCTGTCCTTATTCAACCTTTGTTCAAGAATTTATAGTCCTGCAACGGGAGGCCATCACACAAGACCTGTTCCATGCTGTGTTCGACTGCCTTTAAATCTGCAGCGTGTGGTATTTGAGTGACTGTTAGTCATCCATAATGTCTGTCTAGCTCAGTGTGATGTATCTCCAGAGTAAGCCATTTGTCTTTCTGTATGTCCGTCTATCAATCTGCCCGTTTGACTGTCTTTTAGCTGCCCCCGCCTAATTGCCTTTTGGCCCTTGAATGCCTGTCCGTTGTAAGCTTATACCTGTGGTTATATGGACATGCCCGTTCCTCTATTGGCATGTTAGATAGTTTGATTTTGTTCTAGTTTGGTTCTATTCTAGTTTGATCTTAAAGACTCACCTTGTGGGATTGGTGTGGGCGCCACTGAAAAAACAAGGAAAAAAGAAGCGTACACCTGACTAAGTTGCATATGAAAAAGGAGTTATAAATGAACAAAAAGGCTGTCAACAACGACTAAAAATGCTCGTTTCGCAGCAAACGTGCATGCTTACTCAATTACCTTACTGCGATACAATACTAAATATATTAATTTTTTTCCTTAACTCAAAATGAGATGATAGACCTTCTAAAATGAGGTAAAATTTCTAACAGGGGTGATAACGTGGCTATATGGAAATGAATTCCTGTGCCGATATAATTCAAACTCAAAAAACTTTTTCTTGGATTACTACGAATGCTATTCCCCCCAATGGCCAAAACAATTACTGTTTTGAAAATGGTTAGACCCCACTTCTACTGGAAGTCGTTTCTCATACCACACATCTACTGCTCTGAAATCTTATTAACAGGCGAGCCAATGTTCAGCGAAATGTGTTTCTTCCAAAAAATTAATGATTAACAAGTAGAGAAAAACTGGGTTCTGAATCTTCCACTTGGCTCCCTCACTATCTCAAACTGCCCAAAATATTTTGTTCTCATTGTCTATTTCTAATATCACTTACTTATACAGTGACCACAAGTAGCATAACAGTTTTTTCTCATAAACTGTTCCATGCCGCCGGTACATCCATAATTTTTTTTCCACATAGTGCAGTAGCTACCCTTTTTGTCTATCTCGTTGGCTGTGCACGCTGTGGAAAACATGCTCGTGTATCACCAAAGGTAAAAAAAATATATCGACAGATGTAGACTAAGTCAAGCCTTTGACCGGAGTCCCGTTTTGTTTCTCAAAAGGCAACTCAAGATTGTTCCACGTTTCTTTTCACACTTATTGCTAACAATACAGCTTGCTATGCATGCAAAATACAGCTTGCGCACTTAGTACTTACAATAAAGCTTGCTACGCATGCGAAATACAGCTTGCGCACAGACGGACTTGCCAACGAGCGCGCAGCCAAAGTTATTGCCTGGATAGGTTACCATAATTTCTTTGGAACGGGCTTCTGTTTGAGAGCTCATCTTGAATGGAAAGGGCTAATGAAACTGAATCTGCTGTTTGGTACGACTCCCGAAGAGAAGTCTGGTCATTTCCTGATTTCAACTTCTTTTGTAAAAATGTTTATTACATAATAGTTATTATAAAATAGTAAATTTTCACCTTTCGGTGCTTCCGTTGGAGGCACTGCAAAAGAAAGTTTGTTGATTTTAAAACATGCGACGGTGACATTTGGGGCGAAATAAGTTCTAAATTCCGATTTACTTCATTAGTTTCTTATCTTCATATCACCGAACTAACATTACATTCCAGCATCTTCCTGACTGTAAAGTTAGTTGTCTGTGTTTGACTATGTCTTAGAATATGATTTTACTTACGCTGGCAACGGCCACAACTTGCGTAGCAGTTTCCCATCATAAATTGATAGTATTTACTATTCTGAGAACAAAATCCTTTGCCTTCCCACTGTGGACAGCCACTACTTTTGTCCATTTGGTTTTCAGCACAAACTGCAAGAAAATATAAACTGCAAATCATCGTTTACGTATTAAGAAAACATGAAACACAAAGGGTGCAAGTGCTAAGCAATCTCGGTGGTAACTAAGTTCTCGTGATTTTTTCGTCAAATAATCTGATAGAGCTCAATTTCCTTAAAGCGAAAATGAAAAAAATCCAGAAGGCTTCCCCCCAATCAAAAATTTATAGTTAAGGTCTTGTCACTTGACTCAAAGCAGTTTTAAGGAAGGTTCAATCAATCACGATGTGTATATATAGGCAAGAATTGAAATATACTCACTGGCTCTTTTCTCGACGTCGTTCTGTATAATAATTTTTGGACCTGGGGCGCCCTCACACGTCACTTGAAACGTGACGAGGTACAGGCCAATGAACAAAATGGAAATCATCTTAAGAATATCTGAATATTTAAAAAAAAAATGCGTAAATGGAAAGATCTTTTTAAACTGGCTTCACACATTTTCACTTTGCCATGCGTCGTTCCACCTTCACCTCAAGGCGTCTCTGAGCGATAAAACCAAGAGTCCCTCCCATATCATTAATGTTTTTATCTTTACCGAATTGTTAACAAAGAAATGTGTTCTAATCTACTGTAATGGAAATAAGTATTAGAGTTGTATCGATTTCTAGGAAAACTTAATAAAACCCCAAAGGTGAAAGAAAAATTATAATAATGATAACGCTGATAAATGGAGTATGCATTAACTATTTCTATATTGTGACAGTCGTGTTTAATTGGATGTTTCCCTGACAACTGAAGTCGTTTTTGTAAATTTATCATTTCAAAACTGAGCATTGTAATTCCAATTTTTTCCCGCAATTTTGATATCAACAAATTTAACGAAACATTTCCTGTAACTGTAGAATCTGAACTAAGAAAAACGATAAATGTTTACTTTCTAAGTGACGCCTGCATCCATATGCAATTTGAGATCAATTGATTTTTTTGCACATAACACCTGTTAGGTTAAACCTTTGAATTACTGTAATTCGCTTGAAATTTAGTTTATTTTACGTGTCTCGAGATGGCTGTGTTTCTTAGGTTTTAGACAAATTAAAAACTTTCATAAATCTATTAGCACATCAGATCTTGGATAAATGACCCCACAAGCTTTTCAGCCTTTACAATTATCGTTTTAAAATAAATTGAAAAGCTTTTTAATTAATGGATATCTTACTTGACACAGGGGTTTTTATTCACAGAATCCATCAAGACATGCAAACGAAGAAAAAAGTGAAAGTAAAAGCCTAATTTTTTTCAAATGGTGACGGTATTTTCATTTTTACTCCAAAATGACGCATATTCGTAATCTCTATGTCAATTTTATCAGGTTTGGTTATTGTTTCCGTAACGAGGCACGTTGAGTTTCAAGATCCAAATTCATCGAAACTTTGCAACTAGAGGTTAAGAATAAAGATTTGTTTGAGATAAAATTCAAGACTCCTTTAAGTGAAGATCTTGTGAAGCATCTAAAGAAGCTAAAATAAAAAAAATTAAAAGGAGAAAACTGATCCCACCTTGTAAACGTACGGTACTTGGCCCGCAACAGTCGTGAACTAAATTGCGATGACAGATTACTGAAATGTTAGAAATAAGAGCTAGTTAAAAGTTGTAAAGTATACAATAACACCTTCTTAATGAGGAAGGACACTCTCAGTTTTAAAAATCCAAAGAGAGTTTTTTTTTAAGTTCCGTTTTAGCACTTAATGGATTGTTATCCTTTTTATATGAGATAAAAATTTACTAAGATTGATCGTACCTTGAGAAACGCACTGCACTTGGCCTGCAAGTGAATTGAAGTGGGACGGGGAGAGATGATGAGATTTATCATGTAGATAATTACAGGGTCAGAAATGCAAATCAATGTGTGAATAAAAGAAAAATAGGATCTCTTTGACGCATAACCACGATCGTTAATAAAAAGGAAAACACACCTCTACATTTCTTCAGTTGCTAACGATAAAATAAAAAATTTTCCTAACAATTCTTTTGTGGGAATGAGTGAATGGTAACTTTTCTACCAAAAAATTTTTTTTGCATCGTTACATATGTGAGAAAAGGTGAAGTCATTTGGTGAACTATTCAAAGGATTACAAAAGTGTAATTAGGGGTGCACTGTGAAATTGATTTTGGGTGTATACTGTGGTTCTTAATCTCGATCAAGGTTTGATATAATGTTGCTTAAATCATATTTCCAACGGGTACGATTTTCAATCATTTTTTCACTGTTGAAGATAATGCAACAACTACCCACCATTTCTCTCGTACATGCCAGTGTTGAAAAGTAGGTGAAAACTAGCGTGTCAAAAGGTTGCGTTTGTTCTATGGGGCGCTTTGAAGAGTGTGAAGCCAATTGACAGATCTTTTCAACGCTTTCAATGGCGCAATTAAGGGAAGATTGTGGGTTGAAGAAGTATTTATCGACTTTTGAAGAACGTGATCTCCCTAGATAGCGTTTGTCAGGTAACATTTTGACACCTGCAGTATGTGAACCAGGCCCTGTCCGCGCTAACAACAAATCAGTCCATTCTGGAAGGTTCTCATTTCTACCCGGTTTGAACTGGAAACCAAAGATTTTAGAAATCATCCCGAGGACGGAGAAGGATGTATTATAACACGCTGTCTGCTTATACATGTTCTGTCGTAAGAGTATGTTATTTTTCTTTTAATGAAATGCGGTGCAAATGAAATGATGAAGAAATACTCCTTTGCAAAGTACGGGTAATGTGTTTTCTTTAATCAAATTGAGGATAAACTCGAGGGCATTCGCCATGGTTTGGTACTGATTTTTGCGAGGTAAACAATCCTTTAACCAAGACATTGCTTTTGGCAATAGATACAGTAATAAGTGATAAGTTCGACTTTTTCTATTTTTATTGAAAATAATACAAAGACATACACATTTTCTAACACGTTCGTTATAAGATTTACCCTCTGCGAACTATGGCTATCACAGTTTGTCTTTGGTTAAAACTGTGCCAAAAGTACAATTTATCAATGCAGCTTGGGATGCGTTCAGTATATTACAACTTCAGATATAATTCCTATCTCTTCATGATTAATAATCTGAAAAATCTATTGCCTTTATTAATCTATTCAATCATAGATCTCTTTCTTAAATGGCAGGCTTAATTGGTATTGCCTGCATTCATGTAAATTAGCCTTTTTGGAGTTGACAGCGTATGAATTCACATGGGTTACGTAACCTATTGTGTGGGGTGTTGCATGGTATATGTCGTGACCACTGCTTTATAAGCAGAGAGTTTGTATATATATAGCGTTGCTTTCATTCATATTCATTCGCATCATACGAATGTCTCTGCGCCCTCAAAATTAAATACTCAATACTCAGTGAGGGCTGTCAGTTTCTATAAACATATTTACAAAGAGTATGCATAAGAGTCAGTGCGTTTATTTTATTATCAGTCGTTGGCTTGCTGTATTAGGAGTCTTTTAGAGTTTCTGTGACCTTTCCATCAGTTTCCATATACATATTTACAAGGATTATGCTAGAGTCAGTGCGTTAATTGTATCATTAGTTGTTCGGTTGTTGTATTTTGAGCCTTTAAGAGTTTCTCTAATTATTCTTGCAAGACATAATAAAGAGGGTCGCACACAGTTCGTGTTGACACACCCCAACTATGGTAGCTTAGCTTATCATTATTACACATTATATTCGTTTGAGCGAGGTAGCGAATTAGAATATAAGTATAATTTTGGCTCCCATTGCAGCCAAGAATTCTTATTCGCATGCTTCACGTCTTTAGCACCCAATTTATCTCTTCTTACCCCTCAATTGATCGTTTTTGCTCACATTTAACTTTCAGTTACAGTCATAGGTTGGACAAAACAAAATGTTAAGTTTTAGTGTTTATGAAATAAAAAATATTGAACTTTTATACGACCTAAAAGACTGGGGAACGGAAAATATATTGATTTTCTTTTTATTGAAAGAGAACGAAAGACATGAAATCTGATGCTTCTTAATATTCAAACACATGCTTGGCCTCGGCCTTGGCCTTAATCTCCAAAATCTTTACAAGCCAGATATGGCAGGTAAAACTCTAGAATAAATTACAAATTTATCTTTCAAATCGGCATTCATAATCCCACGGTATCAACAAACACTTTTCATTTAACGAAAACATCATGTGTATTTCACGTTACCATGTTCCCACCAATAGCATAACTCAATTTTTTTGCATATAAATCACACACTTTCCACGATTCCTCCATTCTCTCGACGAGGGGCTTGTGCTCGAAACGTCAGCAGCAGAGTTCTTTACTTTGGCCGATTCATATCATCCACTCAGGTGATAAGACCAAGGTTCAGCGGAGAGTCATTAATGGGCGAGGAAAAATCGTTAATAGTTCATTTTACAATTGAGTTCTTGGTTGCCAAGCCTTTAAACAGGAGTGAGGCTAAAGTTGACCTTGTTATGATACAAACCTTGCTGCTTTTCAAATGCAAATTACTTTGTTATCATGCTAACTAGATACTGGTCTCTATCACAACAAGGTCACCTTCAGCGTCACTCCAAATCAAAGGCTTGGCAACTAAATACACATCTGTGAAAAGGACTATTCGAAAGCAAAGGGACATATTGATAACATTCAAGAATTAATTTGGTTGAAAATGTCTTGAGATATGAAGGAGGATGTCACGTGCAGGTTTATTCTCGCTGGACAAAAAGTTTTACATAAAGTAAACGTTGACTTTTATTCAACATAACATGAATTTTAAAGTACATTTTAAGTAATAAATTAGGGTTTTTTTTTTAATCGCAAACTTTGATGGGTCATCAGCCTCGCAGAAGCATATTCCATTATTTGTAACCCAGCTTAAATATTACATGACAAGTTCTTGCTTGACGAAGAAAAAAAAATGAATACAGAAACAAACTAAATTAGAGGAGAAGTCTGCTTTTCAAATCCCTTTTACAACTTTGGGCTGTTGGTAAGCTTGAAAGGCCGAGGATAATTAAATAATTCTCAAAACGTTCGAATATCAAGCTGAAACTCAACAGAATTTATGATCTTTTCACTTTTTGATGAAATTTCCTTTCAAAGAAACGAAACTGCCCTTGATACATTCAAGATTGCAAAATGGTTTGTTGCAGACGATAACGACAACTTGACACTTCTTCTTTTCTCCGAAATTCTAATTTTTATGATTAATTGATAATAAGACTTCGTGTCATCCAATTTGGTCTGTAATCATACAAGTGATAAACAAATCGGTCTCCAGCTGCGCGGTCGTCTGATTTTGTCATCATTCGTATGATTACAGACCGAATGGGACCCCACTCAATGCTATTACCATCACTAAAAATTATTGTCGTTTTCATTTGGGATAAAATCGATAAATGTCAAAAAGAAAGCTCCTTACGACATCCAGAGCGATTTCGTAGAAATAAAAAAAAACTTGTGCTGATTAGAGATTCGGTTTTTCAGTATTTTAGACTAAGTTAGTCCTTTCTAGAAGCTATAGACTACTAGATACTGTTTCCCAACCCAACTCTTGTTCACAGCATAGCTAAAGAAAAATCACAATTACTCATTTAATTGCTTTGCCCGCTGAAAACAAGAAATTAATAACTTAGGTAGCCGAAGAAAAGATTGATTTGGGAATTTGCAATATTTAAATCCCAATTTAGCTGCCTGTATATAAATTTCCTCTCCTGTGATGCAAACTATGAAAGTGTTTAATTAGATTATTTGCGGTTCTTAATGGTTTAATAGCAATTCTCAAAAGAAGGCTTTTTCGTTCATTGTAATTACATATAGCATAAGACAAAACAACTCCCTCAGCTTTCGGTATATCAAATTTGCCACCGGCTTGAACAGAACTTGCGCCATGTTTTGTGAAAAAGTTTTGCCCGCCACGGTCGCGTTTTTACTCCTTCTGAACTTGTCAGGTTCAAAATCAGAGGCACGGGTAAGATTTAATTCAAACTTATTTGCACACATTTTCACCCTCTACCTCAGCCCTGAAATATAAATGCACAGCCAATCAAGGAGGCGTTTGATGGCGTTTTCAGGGAAGATTGAAAGTTTCTTGGTCTTGCCAAACACAAACGTTTCTAGATCAGTAATTTTTTTTGTAAATAAATCAGGCTATTTTATAGTAGGTATGAATAACATCTATGAAAATTACTGAAACTCTAACTTTGCATTTTTTTTGTTTCTTATCACTTGGCTATCACTTGCTGATGGTTTTAGAGCTTTTCTCCACGTCATAAATTCTAAATTGCCCTGTGCTCTAGACAAGGAGCAATAATTGCCGTGATCGAAAAATTAAGACAAAATGAGGTCACTCAATTGGAAAAATCTTTGAAGTACAACGTGAAAGGTAGTGATTAAATATAAGTGGAAGTGACTGTCCAGTTAAAAGACTGTTCTTCCCCTTATCGGCAGGATCACAAGGGTTGGAGTCTGCGAATAGGACCCTTTAAAGACTACATGCCCAGGAATTATAAGGTTTGTGTCGCATTGAGTATTGAGTAAATTTTAAGGCGAGCGTTTGGCATCAGCGAAAAGAAAACCACACTACTCCCCTAGAAGCAATAGTAAAAACACACCTAAATAACAAGAAGAAGGTATAGTCTTCACAACAATCATTTCCAGCTCCCTTTAGCCACGCGTAATAAGCGTGAGCTACGAAGCACCACAGGGTGAAAGGGAGCAAAAAAAGCGATGGGTTGGGGGATGGAGGAGGAGCATTCGATTGCCGCTGCCCTTCTTGAGCTTCGAGAAGATTGAAAGCGATTGGATTTGAGGAACTTATATGAAACTGCGACTTAGTTCCTTCAATTTGATGAAAATTAAATCATAGTTATCCTAGAAAGTTAGGATACCATGATTGCATTAACCATGGTTTAGTCCATTGCCTCATTTATTTCTCATAAAACCTGCCACAATTTAATGAAGGCTGTAGCACACATTCATTTTCAACATTCTTTATTCTGTCGAATTGGTTAGTTGATGAGAAATTAAAAAAGTTTTTGATGTTTTAAGGTCTGTTGATAACGGTGTAACGACAACTTTTCATGACGTTTAATAGCCCACACGTTCAACTTTTAGAACAAAAAAACGCTGACTAAAAAAACCTCTTCTCTCTTTTTATTTCTTGTTTCGTCTATACTTTGACAGGGAGAAGATGGAGAAAGAGAGGTGCAAAGGTATGTTAAACGTCAAATGTTGGACAAAAATTAAAAGCACGTTTTAGCTGTACATAAACAACGACGTTATCAGCTAGATTTACTATTATTTCATAGCTACTCACAAAATAATGTTTTAAGGATCAAAATAGTCTGAAGTGACCAAAAACTATAAAAACAATAGACTTGGTTCTTTTACTGATCCTTCGATTTGTTGATTGTTTAACTTTTTTCCGGACTTAATGAGTCCAGTCTTTATTGCTACGAGTTGTTATTGTAAATATAGGCTTCTAGAAATATCTAGAGTGCTGAGTCATGCTGACTGGAATACTTTAGAACTTTCCAGAACATTTCATCAAGTCGCGCATTTATTATGTATAACTTCTAAAATAGTTCTTATGTAAGCGTTTGGAATGTTCTAGAACACTTTGTAAAGATACGTTAAGACTCACTTGTGTAGTGGTAGTAGTAGTAGTTGTTGTTGTCGGAGCGACGAATGCTTCGAAAGCTATACCGAGAGAGAGTCACTGCGGAAGGCCGTTTATTTCAAAGAACTTTGAAGACAGCAGTGAGATTGTGTCGGTGGTGAGCCAGGATATTGACTGTGGTGGGCTTAATTAGGTTTATTAACAATAAGTATTGTACTGCTTTTAGAAGTCGCTCCTTGTCAAGAACATTACTCGCTGTTTAATAAAGTAGTTGCACGAGTTTGTGGGAATGTGGTGTTGGATTATACCGTCACATTATCGTACAATGTTCCGTGTACAAACGAAGACGGAAGCACTTGGTATTTTATTGAGGTTATTGAAAAATTTACAGGCGATTATTTTAATTAACACCAAATTGCAAAGAGAAATCATGTTACTACTTGCCAATAATGTACATGAAAAACATTACAGAGAGTCAAGAAATTTTGAAAGCGTGCGCGTCATTCGTAAATTGCACTCGCGTTAAACTTTAAACTCGTGTTACTAGTTTTCAGCCGATCAGAAGCACGTAATTTTTTTCATGTACATTATTAGTTAGTTAATTTTAAGTAATTGATCATTTTATCTACTACAGGGGAGACGGAAGATCTCAGAATTTAGGAGAAGTGAAGGAACAGGTACTTTCATTGGACTATCATCACCACGTCATGCATTTATATCGTTGTCAGCGACGTTATTATTAAAATAAGAATCAATTTGGATGCCACAATTATCATAATCAGCATCATCATCCTCATCATCACTGACATGATTGTTACCATAGAAATAATTATCACATCATTATGGCCATCATTATCATTTCCTTCACATTATCCTAATCAATATCATCATTTTCACTACGGAAATATTATGTACTTATTGATTGAGTGGGAGGGCCGGACTGGAAAATAGTTGGTTCGAAGGTCATATCGAGGTCTCGTCAAGTCAGGACAATAAAAACACACAATTCATCGAAAAAACGCGACTTTTTTCGGTCTTTTTTTCTTTTAAGTTTTTGCGACTAAGCCGTGTAAGTGCAGGACCGGACGGCTTTTCCTGGACCGGCTCACGTCAACCAATCCGGTCCTACAAAACTCAGTTTTATATGGGCTTGATAGTGATGTGATAGTTTCCATCGTTTCACAACTATCCTTGTTATTTTCATGATTCATGTAGCAGCCAGCAGAAATTGAAACAATGGAATTCAGTCGTCATTACCCGCGCTATTAGGTTGGTAATAAAGCAATGGCTGTTAACTTTATGATTATTGTTCCAAGCGCGCAGGTAACATAACTCAGACGTTTAATGTATCATGTCAGCAAAGAGATCGACCTTCGTAACTAATGCCGCATGAAGCAACAAGGAATACTGCTAGTTTCTCCCGTTTGCGGAAGAATAATGTAACCTTTGGCCAACTGTTAATATGTTTAACTTTTCCTAATCATTTAACATTTTTAGGGAAAAAGGGACAAGGCACCTGAACTAATGAGAAACTTTTACAAGCAACAATTGAGAGCCAGTGTGCAAGCTTTATTAGAATAGCTCAAGTCACTCAGCCTCAGGGCCAACATACTCTTTTGTTACGGATACAAACTTGTTTGAAATAAAGCATAATCAAAATGCTCGTGGTTGTATATGGTTGATGTTTTCCATTTTTAGCCATGTCCAAGCAAAAGTACGAGAAAGTTGTAGATTATCAGTAATCTCAGATTCTTTTAATAACGGAGGCAGCGTTATGGAGTGAAAAGTGACCCGCGTCCAGAGAGTCCTACTAATCATCTATCTCGAAAAGCTGATTTTGCTAGTCGTGTATTCATTCAATGCGGAGAGGTTCCCTTAAATTTTAGAATTTGGCATCGAGCCCGAGTCAAAACCATTCCGAAAAGCAACCACAAACATCTGTAGTGAAGCATCGACCCAGGTGTTCATGATTATTTGGATTTTATTTTTGAAGAATCTTTCACAAATTAAACAAAGCGATTAATAAGTGAGGAAGCACTACAGTAGCCCCGCACTGGTCCAACTAGGTTCAACCATAGAGCAGATTACTTACACTAACACAATTACTAATTTAACTATTCTTTTTCAAAGAATTTCCATATGCAGAAGTTTTTTTTTAGACTATTTTTGAAAAAATCTGTTTTTCCCCTTTTTGCTACTTTTTGGACAGCACTTGTGTAATTTTTTTATTATTATGGCAGCTGTACGTGACATCTCTTGACTCAGAAATACAGAAATCTTTCGTAGTTGATATTTCTTCGTGGACATAAAAATCAACACAGCATTTCATTCAAATTAGTATTTACGACAGCCAAGATATTCCTGGTGTCAATTGTGCCAGCCTGTTGTTTTGTTTTGTTTTTTTTTTTGCACTCTCCTGGTGACCAGAGGCACGCACGAGTCTCTTGTACGGCTCGCTTTTTACGCTCGCTCGTGTTTGCCCAACTCAATGAAAAAAGCGCAAAGAACTTCGCGTTAACTTCCGACTGTAACGATACGCTCTTCAACTGATTACGTATAATCCATAGTACTACTACCATTTTTACTGTTTCTCTTAACCGATAACAAATAGGTAAAACGAGGAGAGTGTCGTAAGATAGTTTTTGATCATTAAGTTATTACCTTTTTTAACAGATCACTTTTACCTCCCAGAAAGGTGATAATCTATTTTTCAACCCCGCAAAGTACAATTCAATTTGAATTTATTCAAATAACTGTATTCTTGAAAAGTACAATATAACCATTCAAGCTCATAACTATGAAATATTCAATGAAAGTGCTTTGGTTATATAGTTTTTTTGTCTTTGACATAAAACAGGTCAAGGTATTGATAGCCTCAAGTTTTCCTGCTTTGTCTATAATCAGTTTCTGATTTCGGCCACGAGTTTGATTGCAAACAAAGCTATGTCTAAATTTTGCAGAGAATTTTTCCTTCCTATGTTGAGGTTTTTGCTTTTCATAATATGTCTTTCATTACTATCGCAAAACCAAGTAAGACTGAATTAGGTCCAAAGTTAAACTGTGTGAAGTTTTACTCTCTACTAGCAAATTAAACGATACTGCACAGGCTAAGAACTTAATTTCAAAATGAAATTCGGTGGTTAACACGATATTGCAACTTGAGAGGTACCAGTGTAAGCTCTGGACAGGTCATAGGCTGTAATGTCACTTCACTCCACCAGTAGGAATTTTATGACTTTGTTGAATTTGAGCCGAGGGTTAGATTCTGTGATACTTCAGTCTAATATCAGTGCCCGAAGGTCTTTGGCACTTTAGTATGTGAATATTTTAATTTTTTCTGACTTAGGCAACATATTTCCTTCTGTAATATAAATATACTGTAACTCACAGTTCAAAATAAGAAACACTGGTAAAAATATGAATAAGATAAGTGATCAGATTATGCCATCGTCAAAATGACGTCATAGGGGTTATTACGTATCAATGAACGGGGTATTGCTTCTTATCAAATTGGTGGCCTTACTTTTAAAACTCAGCGTAAGTTCTTACATAAAAACCACCAATTGATAACATCTGACACAGCTCTCAAAACAGGTTTAATCTGGAAAGAATGACTTTCATCTCTGACTCAAATATAAATGCATTGTTTATTTTGATTATCTTTTTGTCTTCATTCTTCAGGCTGCAAAGAAAGAGTGAAGAACGGTGAGGAAATGCCAACATGCAAATTGCTGGCAAACAATATCTCTAGGACTGAATGTAACAACTGAAAGATTAATTAAAGAATTAAAAATATTTCACCTTTTTGTCACCTCTGATAGGGCGATCGAGAATCCAATAAAGGACGCTTTTTAATCCGCTGCGACCTTCAAAAACGTAACAATTATCTCTCATTCAACTTTTTCGGAAATAATGGCGATATATGTGGAATTACTGATCACACAAGACTGCCCTAAAAAGAAAAAGGAAAACAGAAAAAGTTTAAAAGTTTTTTTAAAATCTTAAAGACAACTAAACTTCAAAAGAAGACCATCCCTTATCAATCATTTGTGACGTTTCGAAATACTTAACATTTGTCCCCTTCAAAGTGTTATACAATTCTAATCAAATTAAAAACTGTCTTTTTCACCACATTCATAAAGAGCCCCTTTCTTTTTTCTGTCAATTCTGCAAAGTTGGGGTCTCATTAATACCTAAAATACCAACGCTATAGCCGCCCCCATAAAAAGATCCCCGTTTACATTAAAATGCAAATAATAAAAAATTGTTGGTAGTTTAGTTCGATTAAGGTTTTTTTTTCTACTCTGAAGTTTGTCCCACAAAAGGGTTTTTTTTAAAACATCGCGTCCATTTGTGCTCAATGCTTCAAAGGTGATCACTTATCAAGTATTTAAAGAACAAAAGTCACTTCTGCTTAAATCAGAACCATTGGGTACCATGTTCTACGGAAAGTTTTCCTTCGTTCTCTTCACCGTATCGATTTTCTTGCTTTTTTATCAGAATATGGTACTAGGTCTTCAACAGGTAGGTTTGTCTTTTATAGACATCAGTCATAAACCTAAAATCCGAGAAGTTGACCATCGTCTGCAAAAATTACGACCATTTCATATGCAAAATCAAAATTGGGATCATCGATTTTATTGTATCATTAGGTTTTTTTTTTTCATCTAAGGTACCTGATAACTACAAAGCAGTTTGGACTAAAAGACGACTTCTTAGAAGCGTTGTTGACGCTTTAGTAAGTCAATGGCCTTAATTTTACGATTATTACTTTCTATCGCTTGGATCGTTCTTTGTCCAACTTAAGTAACTTAACGTCCTCTTTTGAGGATTATGTACACTTGATGAAGTTATTTGTAAGTTATTTTCTCCTTCATTTTCTCTGATGAGATATAATTTTCAAAACTGATGCGAATTTTTATTTGTAGTATCTGTATGTACTCTTGTAACTCCTATGACTCATATTTATTAGTTGTAATGCGGTTACAAAAACTGCATAATTATAAATATTAAAATTATAGGTCTTATTTAGTCTTCCGAGTGCATCAATTCTCAAGCAATTCTCACCCATGTTTTAAAAGTATTCGATTGCTTTTACCTTCACAGTCTTCTCCATCGAGCCGGCATATGCTCGTGAGCTACAGCAGTGCGTTGTCCAAACGGGGACATTCAGTTGAGGTATTAGTCAAACCCTTTCACAATTCACTTTATTATCATTTATCGTCATCGAAATCGCCAAGATCATATCATCGTCAACGTCATTACTGTTTCATTCCTGAAACATCCATTTTCAAATAATTGGTGAACTTTGCAATCAGATTGGGTGTGACTTATTCACGAATCGCACTAATTTTTGCCCTAAATCCCATCTTTTCCTACCAATTGAGAAGGCAACACAAAACCGAATTAAACAAGCCATGAGACTTCATGGCCTCTGAAAAGTAACCAATGAAATTGCAAGAAAAAGAAATACAAAGAAGCTATGATGTGGGGAATTTGAAACGTTTGTTCCAAAAACTTTGGCTTTTCAATTTTCTTAAATAAGCTTTTTCGGTTCTGTTGTGCTGAAAATCATTAGTATGATTCCAGACCAAAATGCCCTTCATTCATTAAAATTACCATTGCTTCAGCTATTTTGTTTTTTAGTCTAGAAGTTAGGACCACCCGCGTTTGGGGAGAGTTTTCACTCTGAGAGATGCTTTTTATGCTAATCGTTAGTTGCTTTATAATCAGTCAGTTCCTTGTTGAAATCATACTTAAGTATTACATTGTATCAGTGAGCAAAGTACAGCTGCTCCTGAAATAAACAATAAAGGGGACCCCGCTTTTAAAACTCAATGAAGGTTCCTGTATGAAAACCACCAATTGGTAAAATTTAACAAAACTCTCAATACATGTTTTATTTAAAAGGAATGACCTTCATCACTGGATCGAATGTCACTGGATTGTTTATTATGATTAACTTTATATCTCCATTCATCAGGCTTTAGAGAGAGAGAGAACTGTTTTGACATAGATGATTAAGCAAAAGGTGAAGAAATGCCACCATGCAAGTTGCTCACAAGTAGTATCTCCCAGAGAGAATGAACCAACTGAAAGATTAATAAAAAATATATATAAACTTCTTTTACTCTTTTGTTATCTCTGACTTGGAAATTAATAAACCAGTCCGGGGGACTTCCTCATCCATTGTCTCTTTCAAAAAGTAAAAATTGTTATTTATTCAACACTTCCAGAAAAAATGATGATAT